ATTTATTTATTTTTGAGATGGAGTCTTGCTCTGTTGCCAAGGTTGGAATGCAGTGGCGCCAACTCGGCTCACTAACCTCCTCCTGATTCAAAGGATTCTCCTGCCTCAGCCTCCAGAGTAGCTGGGATTACAGGTGCACACCACCACGCCTGGCTAATTTTTGCATTTTTTAAGTAGAGATGGGATTTCGCCATGCTGGCCAGGCTGGTCTGGAACTCCTGACCTCAGGTGATCTGCCCACCTTGGCCTCCCAAAGTGCTGGGATTACAGGCATAAGCCGCCATGCCTGGCCTCATTTTGTATATTTAATACGTGGGCATCTGATTATTATTATAATTTTTGGACTTCCACTAAACAATTGTTCTACTACTGAAAAATATGACTTGGGTCCTAAAACAATGGAAGTCTCTGGGAAAATGAACTATAATTTTGTCTTTGTGATAGTCTATTGTCAATCAACACTACAAATGCTCTTCAAATCAGAATTCTAAGAATTTCTTCCCAGTCATGGGAAGAAAAGTTTTTGAGAAAAGTTGAGAGATTCTTCATAATTTTAAGGTAGATAATAATGTCATAGAATAATAATTTTTGAAGATATTCCAACTGGTGTGTTTCCTTGAATGTCTGATGTAAACTCTATTATATTTTATTATATGTGTGTTTTTAAAATTTTGGTCAAATACATATAACATTTATCATCAGTGACATTTTGTATATTAAGAGCATTATACAGCCGTCACCACCACTACCTAGTTTCACATCACTGTTTTCACCCCAAAAGGAAACCCCAAACCCATTTAGTGGCCTTCTTTCCTCCTCCTGTAGTCACTGGCAACCATTCATCTACTTTCTGTCTCCATAGATCTGCCTACTCTGGATATTTCGAATAAAGAGAATCACACTATATGTGACTTTCTGTGTCTGGCTTCTTTCACTTAGCATAAGTTTTTACAAGGTTTTACGGTCTATTTAAGAACACAGAGGTCATTTGTTTATGGAAACGTGAATGGTCTTATTGAGAGAATTATATATACAAGGTGATATAGTTTCAGAGGTGTATTTTTGGAAGTGAGTGCTTTATACGTAATGACGTATATGTATATAGATAAACCATCATCTGTGTATATATGTATTATACATAAAACCCATGGGAATCCACAATCATCATAAAAGATGAAAACAACAGTTACGATTAATCGAATGATACTAACTTTCAGGCATAAAACTAGATGCTTTAAAAATAATCTGGAATTGAAAAAATAATGAGTAAAATTTGCTCTGTATGTAAAGTTTCAGGTCATGCTGCAGCTTGTAAGGGCCTAAGAGCTTCATCTTGCATACAAGTACTTTTCATGATAGCGGTATCTGACACTGTCAGCGTTTTATCTATTTACTTCTCACTAATCAGGGATTTTTTTTTTTTATATCCTATGTAACTTGGGACTAATGTTACAGAACTAACAAAGAAAAAAAGATTTATTTGGGGCCTGTGTAAGATCAAATTTTTTACCAAAGTAAACAAATTATGTGAATCAAGTTTGTTTACCTCAAGTGTTTCCAGTTTAAAGATATGTATATTTTTAGTTATATAAATACATATTTAAAAATTTCATCAATTTTAAATCTCACACTTCCCTTCACAATTTTAATGAGCTATTAACATTTAGTAGCTTGGCATTTGATAAAAGATATGGTTTAGTAAATAAGAACAAAAGAATCGTCATTATTGGCAGAGAGCTTTGTTGTATTTGACATTTGTCCTCAGTTAGAAAACTGAACATGTAAATAAAAGCGTTCCAATAATTATTTTCCCATTGTTCTGAATGCAAAGACTTTTTATTTTTGAGATGGTCTTGCTCTGTCTCCTAGGCTGGAGTGCAGTGGTGCAATCTCGACTCACTGAGACCTCTGCCCCCTTGATACAAGTAATTTTCATGCCTCAGCTCTGAATACCTGGGATTACATGCTCCTGCCACCACATCTGGCTAATTTTTGTATTTTTAGTATAGACAGGGTTTCTTCATGTTGGTCAGGCTGGTCTCAAACTCGTGACCTCATCTGACCCGCCCACCTTGCCCTCCCAAAGTGCTGGGATTACAGGCATGAGCCACTGTGCCCAGCCAACACTCATGTTTGTTATCACACTTTTACATTTTAACTGATATTTAAATTTTCAGAAATTTAAACCACTTATTGTCTTTTGGGAATTTTAAATTCATGACTGCTTATATGGCATATCACTATCTATGAAATGTGATAGGTTAAAAACTAAAGAGAAAATGTTCCACTTTGGAAGAAATTTAGCTAATTAAATGTTATATGTCAAAGAAAAAATTAAATTGCGTTTTTCCTTTTGAGCAATCTAGATGTTTAACTGGTTTGTTTTGTTTTGTTTTGTTTTGTTTTTTCTTTTTCTTTCTTTTTTTTTTTGAGATGGAGTCTTGCTCTTTTGCCAGGCTGGAGTGCAGTGGCACTATTTTGGCTCACTGCAACCTCCATCTCCCGGATTCAAGCAATTCTCCTGCCTCAGCCTCCTGAGTAGCTGGGACTACAGGCGTGTGCCACCACTTCCAGCTACTTTTTTGTATTTTGGTAGAGACGGGGTTTCACCATGGCCAGGATGGTCTCTATCTCCCGACCTCATGATCCGCCTGCCTCGGCCTCCCAAAGTGCTGGGATTACAGGCATGAGCCACCATGCCTGGCATCTTAACTAGTTTTGTATTGATTTGGAGATTGGCTAAGAAGATCTGTGGAGGCTAAATATACTGTAAAGCTGGAGAGGAATTAACTTCTTTTAGAAACTACCATTGAATATTGCTGCCTCATTTAGGATAGCTCTTGACAGTAACAGATGAAGTGTTTGCTTCTTCTGCAACAAATAAGATTTTAAAATCTATTATTCACTCTTACCTATATAGTACATATACAACCTATTAAAATCAGAATTAAAAGAAAAATGTAATCAATCATTAAATATTTTCTTCTTGGGTAGAGAACACCACTCATTTTAATATTTCTATACTTACAGGTATTTGGGATTATGCATACATATTTAAAAATATTTGAATATAGGGTATCATAGCCAAAAAAGTTTCAAAATTTTGGTGTGTTTTTGCATTGCATACAAATATTTGGCAAACTGTAAATATTACCTTCTATTTGAGTATGTAAGCTTGAGGAAATTTATATTTTATTGAATGTAAATCCTAGAGTAGGTATAGCATAATGTTGCAGCTAAAACATTTAGAAATACTTAAGTATGGTTATTTCATGTCCACATTATGGGTTTTGACCTGTTCTGGATCTACTGATATTTCTTTTCTCGTAAAATTGGCTTGCTATTTATACTTGAATGCTTTTATGACAAAAAAAGTATGAAGTGATGAGAATGCATGGAGTAAATTAATTATCTTTACCAATGCTGTATTGTAGGACAAGAACAGCAATTGAGATCTCACTGATCTTCATTTGGGCCATTTGCTATGTAAATAACTCAGCATGACACATAACATGCTGCTAATTACAAGTGAGATCATCTCATAGGCAAGGTCTCTTTATGGTGGCAGGTTATTTTCTCTCAGGGACTATGCCCATATACCAGCTGAATGCCACTAAGCAACTTCTGTTCAAACCATGTGGAAAAGGCTCAGCAAAGTCCTGCCCAGATCTCTGGCTTACAGTTTCATGGCATATAATAAAATGTTTTTGTTTGTTGTTTGTTTGTTTTATAAACCACAAAGTTTTGGGATAGTTTGCTATGCAGCAACAACTGAAATAGAACTAGGTAACTGAAATAGAACTAGGTAACTGGAATAGAACTAGATAATTGGAAGTGGGTGCTGCTCTAAGAAGAAAACTTAAAATATATTCCCTTGACTCTGGGACCAGGTAGCAAGAAGAAGCTTGCAAGAATTTGAAGAGATTTTTGTGATAGCTAAAGGAATGAGAAGGAAATTCTTATTAGAGGAGAGAAAAGAAAATCTACCCCTACATTGTGGGACAGAAAGCTTGGCAACCCATTTCGGTAAAACAGAAAATAGAAAATGCAACTAATGAAGTGTTACATTTGGTTAAGAGTATTTTCAGGTAAATTCTTGAAAATTTCACTTCACTTTTTTATGAGCTCTAGGTAAAGATCTCAAGGAAGTGGCTAGAGTCCCGTGTGTATACTTGAAAAATGTTAAAAATATGCCTCATAAATATTCTCAATTAGATTAAAGGGTCTTTAAGAATCATAAAAGCTTTATCTCAAAGAATCTTGATTCCCAGCCCAAGGTAGAGAATCATAGGAAGCCCACAAACCTATTAAGAGAATTAGGCTAGTAGAAGCACCATTGGCTTCATTTGAAATGGGCAAGGACAGTTCAAAATGCAAACAGCTTGCAAGGTTCCCACATTTCTATGAGCAGGAAATGGTATGAAAAGGCTACTTAATAGCAAACATGGCTCATTTTTACAGCAAAGGAAAGATGACCCAGAAGGCAGAAACAATAACCCAAATGATGAAGTCAAGACACATTTTTTGGCAGCAGGACTGGGCCTTAATTATGTAATGGAAGGCTATACTTTTCCAGGCTTCAGAATTCCTGTGAACCAGTGATTACAATGTACTTCCCACCACCCCTTTCCTTTTTCATGTTATCTCTATTGCAGCTTTCCTATTCTGTATCACCTCTCTAGTTTGACTTTGTGTGGGATGGAAAACTTGCTCTTAAATTTACAAGTCTTTTGATCAAGAGGGATCATAATCAAGATCCACCCTTTGGGAACCTCATTTGCACTTGCATCTAATTTAGTTGACACAATTCTCGAATTCAAAACAATGCTATAGTGGGACAAAAAAGTTGGGGTCTTTAGGAAAGGGTGTTTATGTTTTACATATTGGAAGAGTGTAAATAATGTCACTAGAAGGATGACTGTGTCTCATTAAAGAAGTGCTAGGCGTTGTAAGAATCCTCACAGCTTTTACCCTGTCTCTTAAAACACTCTGAGACACAGCTGGCTGCCATGTCAGAAGTTAGAAACCCCTGAGAAGCTACACTGGAGAAGCCACATGTAAGAACTCTGGTCAACAGTCACAACTGGGTCCAGATTTCCAGGCTTCCTCACCAAGGCACTAGGCACATGAATGAAGTCACTTTGAACACTTAGGCAAGCTGATCCTCCAGCTGAAACCAGAGAGTTTATATCAATGACAAGAGGAGCAGAAAATTTACCCAGCAAATCCCTGCCCAAATACCTGATCCACATCCATGTGAGACCTAATAGAATTGGTGTCATTTTAAGCCATTTTATTGTGAATGTAGTTGCTTTAATTTGTTTTAAGACTCAGAGAGAGCTTACATATAGAGTTGTACCAAATGCATAGAGATGTGTAACCACTATCATAGGCAGGTTACAGAATAGAGTTCTCACCCACAAAAATTCCCTGCATTGCCCTATTGTATTGAAACCATCTCTATACCTGTTCCCTTAAAGCCAGTGGTGTCTTCTTCATCCCTATTTCTTTGCCTTTTCTAGAATGTTATATAAATGGAATCATACAATATTTAACTTTTTGGGTCTGGCTCCTTCTTGACTTAAGTTACTGTGTATATCAGTTGATTCTTCATTGCTGAGTTGTATTCCATTGCATGGGCATACCACGGGCTCATTCATTCATTGATGGGCTTTTGGTGTTTTCCCATTTGTGATTATGAATAATTTTGATATATACATTTGTCTACAGAATTTTAGGTAAGCATATGTGTTTGTTTCTCGTAAGTAAATATCTAGGAGTGAGATGACCAGGTCGTATGAAGTATGTGTTTACATTTAGAAAAAAAGTGCTAACCTGTTTTCTAGAGTGGCTGTAGTATTCGTACTTCCACCAAAAATATATGAGAGTTACAGTTTCTTTGCACTCTTACCAGTAGTAAGTAATCTCAGATTTGTTTACAAAATTAATTTCATATTTTCTAATATATGTGTAGTTCTAGCTCATTGTGGTTTTACATTTTGCTAATGGCTAATGATGTCAAGAAACATTTTCTGCCTATTTGCACTATCTTTTTAGTGAAGTGTAACAAACATTTAAATTGCTCATTACAAGTATTGCTTTTATTTTACCATTAAGTTTTAGAGTTCTTTATAAATATTCTGGATAAATATATTTTGCCAGATATGGGATTGACAGACCTGTTTATTTTTAGCATGTAGCTTGTTTTTTCCTTCTATTGACAGAATCTTTTACAGGAAAAAAAGGTGTTTAATTATGATAAAGCTCACTTTATCCATTATTTATACTTTTAAAATTGTGCTTTTGGTGTTATATCTAAGAGCTCTTTACCTAACCCAAGATCGCAAAGATTTTCTTTTTATGTTTTTGTTTTCTTCTAACAATAGCATAATTTTACATGTCATATTTAGGTTTGTGGTCCACTATGAGTTAATCTGTGTATGAGGTATGAGTATGTATTGCAGTTCATTTCTTTCTTCTGTATAGTTCATAAGTTATTCCTACACTATTTCAACTATTTGTTGAAAAGATTAGAATGGTATTTTCTTATGGTACAGAACCTAAAGAATAGATTTAAAACTGTGTGAGGCAAGATATTATTTTTTCACTCCTGAGTTTTGCTCATCTTTGAAGGTATATATTCTTTCTTTACTCAGACACACAGATATATATATATATATATATAGTATATTATATATATATATCATATATATATAATGTTCTTTTACTCAGACACACAGAATAATTGACATTAGCTAGAAATTCCCTAGCGTGGTTTTTGTGAGAGTAATGATTTAGAAAACAAAAAAAGCCAAGTGTGACCAAACAGAATGTATCACAACAATTTTGTTGTTAAAAGAAAGAAATTTAAAAAATAATAGTTAAAAATTTTAAGAAATGTTTTTGTTAGAAAGCTGGCAAGCTGAAATTGAATCTGTAGTTCAATATTTAACATCAGTAAAAGCTGTATGAATGGATATTGACCAGGGACTCAACCGATTAATTTGAGGGTAAGAAAATATGTTATTTGATGTTTTTAATAAGCTATTTTAAGAAACATAATTTGAAGAGTAGGAACACTAAAGCTTGCTTTGAGTATTGTTCCGAATGAAATAATTTTGTAACATATTCTGCAATAACTCTGGTACTAAAAATTGTCAAGGGCAAGCAATTTAGCCCTAAAATAAGTAATAAGAAATAGAAGCCCCAGAAAGGAAAAAGAATTACAAAAATATATTGCATTCTGAATCAAATAGCCACTGGGCTTTTACGGGGCAAGACACTGCTAAACTCATGGAGAAATTTAAGAAGGAAAAATCTCTCTCTCCTTTGTTTCTGATGTTTGCTTTTTCTTCAGCGTTTTGAAAGTAAAAAGAAGGTAGTTGGAAATTCAGACTTGTAATATGATCCATTTGCATGTTGTAAAAGTCTTATGATCACAGCAGAAATATGACAGCTTTTAAAGCCTGTTTCCTGGTATTTCATCACCTTTCCCAGAAGTATATAAGTTGCTGGAAGATAATTGCTGTGAATACATTATTCTTGTTCTTGAGATTCCCTGGTCCTTATGAAATTCAATCTATGTTCCTAGGAGCAGAATTGGTGGTGAAGGATGATACCATAGAAGGAAGATGCAAAATTATTGAAGATCCATTCTGTTGGCTAGCTTTGTTTTACTTTACCCTTCCCATTTAGTAGCATCAAGAAAGAACAATCTATTTGATTATATAAAACTCTGTATCTGTTGTGGAATACCCATAGCTGTTGTGGAATAAAAAGTATTTCATAAGGATATTCAGAAGTAAGCTATTTCCTCTCTTTTAAATTTAGGCTTACAGAAAAGTTGCAAAAAATAAGAGTTCTGTAAACCTTTCACACAGTTTCTGCTAATGTTAATATTTTATATATTCACGAGTAGTCCTTGAAACCTGAAAGTTAACATTGATACAATACTATTAACTTACCTGCAGACCTGTTTTGCATTTCATGAGATTATGAAAAAACAATTCAAGATTATGAAATTAAAGAATCTAAAATCCTCACATATCTTTTTTTTTTCTGATCTAGGATATAATCTAGGATCCCACATCTCATTTAGCTGTTATCTTAGTATCTTCTAATCTGTGACAGTCCCTTAGTCTTTCTTTTTTCTTTTGTTCTGTCTTTCATGCTCTTATCACTATTGAAGAATACCAGCCAGATATTTTGTGGAATGTCCCTCAGTTCCTCAGTTTGGGTTTGTCTGATGTTTCCTCCTAATTCAATTGGTATTATTCCTTTTTAACAAAAACGTTGCAGAAAGGACACTGTGCGCTTCTCATTGCATCATATCAACAGCACATGATGTTGACCTGTTTCATGGGTGCTTTTAAGCTCAATGCAGAAGTGTCTGCATTGTGCCACTGCACTTCAGCCTGGGCAACAAAGTAAGAATTCATTTCAAAAAACAAAAAGTGACTGAGATGATTCATGGTAAAGCTATAGTGAAGCTTATTTGGTAACTATTTGCATGATATTTTGGGTTTCCTCATAACCCTTGCATCTTGGTTTATTTTAACAATTCTTATAGACATTTAGGACATTTTTGAAACATTTTGTAGGATAGGATATTATGTACAATAGGTGTTTAAGTTTAAAAACTTACACAAATGATGCATCTTAGAAGTGACAGCTCTGTGTCTGGGTTTATAAGTACAGGACAGGACCCACTCTCTTGCTCCATACACCACTGCAGCTGCAGCTGTTGTTGCTGCCACTGTAGGCTGGGGCAGGCAAGCTAGAGAGCTGCCTGTCTGGGGCTGTGAATGGTGACCGTGTCCCCACTGGTGGCATGGCCTTTGTGCTTGAGCTCACAAGAGAAAGAGAGGGTTCCTCACCTACTCTGTATGGTGCTGTGATGCTGCTGCCATCAAAAGTAGATAGGCCTGAGAGCTGAGTTTCTGGGACTATGAATGGCAACCCAGCATTGCAGCCACTGGCAACACCAGCATTGCATTGCTTGGGACCCAGAGGGTTGTACTGCCACTGCTACTGCCATTGCCAACACCACACTGGCTGCTCAGGGACCTGAGAATCCACTCACCTACATGGCCTGTGACTGCCATTGCTGGCATCAGAGCAGCCACTTGGGGAACCAAGGACAGGCCTGCTGGGTCCTGCTAACACTGGTTCTGGTGTATGCTGCCCTGGGAGCCCAAGAACAGGACTGCTGGGTCCTGCTAACACTGGTTCTGGTGTCTGCTGCCCTGGGAGCCCAAGAACAGGCATATTCAGCACTTTGCTACCACCACTGGGACCAGGACCTAAAGATTGGTGCACCTGGCATCCCTGTCCCCAGCAAAATTTCACCATACTCTCCACTAGTACCTGCACCCTAAACCAGTGAGGAAATCACAGATACCACCAATGCTGTTTATAGTCAAGTGAATCACACAGAGATTACACTACTTCATGCACTGAGAATCAAAGCCAAAGGGTTCTAGCCAACTGAAGCCATTGAAACATATTTAGGAAAAAGTCCTTCCTTGTGAAAGTGAATTCAAAAAATTGTAAGAAATGAATATTACCCCGAATATGTAGATACCATCATAAGGACACCAGAAACGTGATAAAGCAAAGAAATATGACACTTTCAAGGGAACGCAATAATTCTGCAGCAACAGATCCAAACTGCAGATATACTAACAAAACTATGAAAAAGGAATTCATAATTATGATATTAAACAAGCTTAATGAGATAAAGAGACTTTGAAAATAAAATATGAAGGATTCAGAAAAACAATTCAGGATATGAATAAGAAATTTATGAAAGAGATAGCTATCTTAATAAAGAACCAAACATAAATTCTGTAACTGAAGAACTCCCTGAATAAAATGGAAAATACACTTAACAGTTTCAACAATAGGCTGCATTAGCAGAAGAAAGAACCACAGAACTTGAAGACAGGTCTTTTGAAATAACCCAGTCAGACAAAAATAAAGAAAAAAAAACAAAGTCTTTATGATATATGGGATAGCATAAAGCAACCAAACATACAAATTATTGGTACTCCTGAAGGTAAAGAAAGGTTAAAATTGTTTGAAAGCCCATTTAATGAAATAAAAGATGACTATTTCCCAAGACTAGCAGGATATTTCAGCATCCACATACAGGAGGCCCAGTGTTCCCCAAAAAGATACAATGCAAAAGGTCTCC